TTTTAAGCAATATACCCTATCAAACCACTCGACCATTCAGAAATAGTTAATTTTCAGTTGTATTATATGACTTTAATTTTTTACTTCAAGCTTTTGCATGTTTATTTCTCTTGATGCATAATTGTTTTGTAGCTTATAATTATGATCATGGTAGGAATACCAACTAAAAATATATATATACACGTATTTATTATGCTGACCGTTGGAAAAGATGATCCATCCAACATTAATATACAAAAAAATAAAAATAAAAAAATCAAATCCTTGAAATCACTTTTCCGTGTCATATCAGCATTCGGCTGGAACCCTAACAGCAAATGAGCCTTTTTAGAATAAATTAAAAACTATTCTCCCTCTTTCAGAGAGTCTCAACAAACTTTCAACGATAATATGGGCTAGGTGAATTTAATTGCACGTGTGAAGCCCAATACACGAAACAAGCCCAGTAGTCGAATCATTGTAGCCCAAAGTGGCATAAGTGGTAGGCTATTTTACATCTGTGATTCTGATACTGAGTCAACTATACTTTTTTCTCAGCATTATTTATTGGGTCTTGGCGTCACAATCCAACCACCAATATCTAAAATTTCTGCAGTTCTTTTAAGTCAAAGAGTAATGCTAGCGTTATTGAAGGGTGTATACCGAATTTATACATCGAATAACGTAATAAAATCCTGATTATTGATTCATTATAAGTTAATATTAATCAATGGTCAGGATTTTATCACGTCATTCGGTGCACAAATTCAGTATATAACTTTCGGTAACTCTATCATTTTCCTAAGTCAAAAGTCTTGAATGGTTCGGTTAAAGAATTTGGGAGATGTACAGTTCTTATTTCTTTTGAATCACTCTTTTCAGTATTATTTTATACTACACTTACAACCCAATCTCATAACTCCGACGTGATAACTCGTAATTGGTCAACTCGTAAATGGGTCTCATCTCCTTGTTATGGGTCTCTCATGCTTATTTGTGAATTGACCAATTACGAGTTGCTATATCGGATTGTAAGAGAAAGTTTGTAAGATTTGGTTGTGAGTCAATTTTTATCTTTATTTTATTTATTTTGGTGAGATATTTTATTATCAAATCGTATATGCTATTATTGAAAAATGTTGTATATATTTTTTAAATTAATTAAAAACTCTCTTAAAAAAACATCTGGCAAGATTGATGGTGATGGAATAGATGGACAAAGGCTATCATTTTCATGCTTTAACTTTCTGAAATCACAACATGGTAGGGCCTTAGTTATGGTTGTATTTTTGCCTGCTAGTTGCTGAGGGTAACCCTCAATTTGTCCCACTTCTCAAGGCCCCCAGCCTCGGCATTGAACCTTCGTTTCCTTTGTACTTGTTAGATGATGGAAACATTAATGGAACAATAATTATAAACGATAAATTGTTATTTCAAATACTTGTGGAGAAAATTTGTAAATTTATTATAGTCAAGAGAAGAATAATACTCCCTCTGTTTGGAATTAAAAGTTGTTTTAGCTTTATAAATTTTTTCCAAAATAAATGTCGTCTGGCCAAATGCAACATTCTCTCTCTTTCTCGAAGTATGCCCCTGTCTCCTCTCTCTCTTTCCCATTTCCCTCACCCCTCATCTCCTCTCTCTCTCTCTCTCTCTCTCTCTCTCTTTCTCTTTCTCTTTCTTCGTTTTATTTCCCACGCACTTTCAGAGGGAGGAGTAAAGAGAAAAAAAATTTACATGAAAAAATTAATTTATTAAAAAACGTATAATAACTTAAAACGACTTTTATTTCGAAACGAAGGGAGTAATAGACACTACATATTATTAAATAGAAGATTAATCTATAAAACTATGCTTGAATAAAAATACAATAAGGATATAATTGACGGATTTTACAAAATTTCTCTTACAAATCTAACATGATAGTTAATAATTAGTTTTTGATAAAAAAATTCGTCTAAATCGATTCATCAAAAACCAATTATCAATTATTACATTAGATTTATGAGATAAAATTTATGAGATTCATTCAGTTAGTGTAATATTACTCATAAAAATATTATCAGTGACCTTTTCTTCATTACTGTTTAAACCTTTATTTTGAAAGAAAAAAAAAAGAGTGAGGTTAAAAAATTATGAGTCTTTGTCTTACTTTAATGTGGGCCTTGTTGATGGCCCAACAAGTCACTCTAAAGAAATAGAGAGTCATTTGTGAAATGTGAACTGGACTCAACTATTAATGTGGGCCATTCTGGCTAAGTATTGATTAATCACCGTCAAAATAGTGAAACAGCTCTCCTCTCATGAAGACAAAAAGGGAGCAACCATGGTGATATTGAAATCAATAATACTATACTTACAAAGATTTTCATACAGAGTGAGGTAATAAAAAATGAATAAAAAATAAAATAAAAAGTCAAACTCATTAAATTCATTTTTCCATTCATTTTTTACTACATCACTTTGTATGGAGATATTTATAAAATTTATTTGTAAGTGTAGTATTACTCTATTGAAATATTTAGGGTGCGTTTGGTTTATTATTTTGGATAGAATTTTGGGGATAGTATTGGATAATTGAATATGGGAGTATTACGAGGTAAAATTTAAAAATTTATAAAAAAACTCCTAAGTTTGCTAATTTAATAAATACCCCAATATGTAAAATGACAAAAATACCCCCACCACCTGCAGTGACAGATTCCGGCCACCACTGCCAGAATCTGGCCGGAAAATCGCGATCTATGTCGTAACGCGTCGTTATGGCCTTTTCCGACCAGATCCACCACAGATCTGACTGGAAAAGGCCAGATCTACGACCTGCTGTGGCCATCAACTGTCGAAAAAGGCCAAAACGACGGCCAAAGATATGGCCGTCGTTTTCGGTCAACGATGACCATTTCTTTGGCCGTCGTTCACGGCCAGATCTGGCCTTTTCCGGCCAGATCGGTGAACTTTCGGCCATTTATGGTCGGCAGGTAGGCCGCTGTACAGATTTCGGCTACCACCGACGGTGGTTGCCGAAATCTGGCAAGTATGGGTCGCGGGGGTGTTTTTGATAATTTTTAAACTTTTTTTTCAGAGTGTATTTGATGAAATTAATAACCTTATGGGGTCTAAAAGTAATTAAAAAAAAAAGGTAATATTTCTGGAATAATGTGCCAAACATTATTTGGAGAATATGATTGGAAATAGGGATAAAAATAATAAGCCAAACATGGCCTTAAACATTTCTCAAAATAAGTATTGTTGGTACTGTACGTCTTTAAGATATCAAATCTGCTACTGAGTTTCACGTGATTTGCTTTAACATAATGTATTAATAATGTATTTATATGTTATTAATCTCACTTTTATATGAAGTCGTTGAATTGTTTTAAAATTTAAATGGTAATATTTACTAAATTATTTTAAATAAAAAATATAATGTTATTAATCATTCACAAGCAATTACTAATATTAATAATTATTTTGTACGTATTATTATTATTTAATTTTTTTTTTTTTTTATGATTAGAAGTGTTTAAACCAGTTTATACCCATTTCAATTAATCATCTTTCGAGATTGATTTTAAAACTACCGATTGAATAAAAGTTGTAATGGTTATCTTTATTAATATTAAGTAATATTAGCTTTTCACCATTTTCTCACACCATGGCAGCCCACATGCAGTGACACCTTACTGCCACATCATCGATCTGCCAAGTCATTTCCCCCCAATTTTTCTTTTAATTTTTTTTGCAAATTCTAAAATTTGAAACAAAACTTCCCTAAAACAAACCCACCATCAATTTCAAAATCCAAAAAATACAGACCCAAAGATTCTCCCCGAATTTCCTTTCAATATTGTAAACCCTAGCCACCACATCCCTCAATGGCTCAATCATAGTCCGTCCAAGTCCTCGCCGTCCACCATCCCAAACAGGTTTCACTTAAGCCTTCCACCACCACTGCCAATCTCAGTCGTGCCCCTATCAATCTCGACCTTAAATGGCCGTGCATCGGCTATTCCTCTGCACCACCACCACAACGAGTGTCAGTCGACCCGCTCCAAGTCATCGAACTTGGAGAACCAGAGATTACCTTTCATCACTCCCTTATAGACGAAGAGTGTTAGAGGCAGGCAAAAAGGAAAACTTATTGGACGTGGGGGTCTAAAAGTAATTAAAAAAAATAGGGTAATATTTCTGGAATAATGTGCCAAATAATAGAATAGGATTGGAAATAGGGATAAAAATAATAAGTCAAACATGGCCTTAAACATTTCTCAAAATAAGTATTGTTGGTACTGTACGTCTTTAAGATATTAAATCTGCTATTGAGTTTCACGTGATTTGCTTTAACACAACGTATTAATAATGTATTTATATGTTATTAATCCCACTTTTATATGAAGTCGTTGAATTGTTTTAAAATTTAAATGGTAATATTTACTAAATTATTTTAAATAAAAAATATAATGTTATTAATCTTTCACAGCCAATTACTAATATTAATAATTATTTTTTACGTGTCATTATTTAATTTTTTTTTTTTTTATGATTAGGAGTGTTTAAACCAGTTTATACCCATTTCAATTAATCATCTTTCGAGATTGATTTTAAAACTACCGATTGAATAAAAGTTGTAATGGTTATCTTTATTAATATTAAGTAATATTAGCTTTTCACCATTTTCTCACACCATGGCAGCCCACATGCAGTGACACCTTACTGCCACATCATCGATCTGCCAAGTCATTTCCCCCCAATTTTTCTTTTAATTTTTTTTGCAAATTCTAAAATTTGAAACAAAACTTCCCTAAAACAAACCCACCATCAATTTCAAAATCCAAAAAATACAGACCCAAAAATTCTCCCCGAATTTCCTTTCAATATTGTAAACCCTAGCCACCACATCCCTCAATGGCTCAATCATAGTCCGTCCAAGTCCCCGCCGTCCACCATCCCAAACAGGTTTCACTTAAGCCTTCCACCACCACTGCCAATCTCAGCCGTGCCCCTATCGATCTCGACCTTAAATGGCCGTGCATCGGCTGTTCCTCCGCACCACCACCACGACGAGTGTCAGTCGACCCGCTCCAAGTCATCAAACTTGGAGAACCAGAGATTACCTTGCATCACTCCCTTATAGACGAAGAGTGTTAGAGGCAGGCAAAAAGGAAAACTTATTGGACGTGGTACTTTTAGAAGTGTTTATATTGCAACCAACAGGTGTGCAAGTATGCAGAAGTTTATTCTTCTAGTTGGTTCTTGACTTTCTTTAAGTGAACACTAATCTTTATCTTTCTTTCTATTTTATGGGCTGCCAGGGAAACTGGAGCTTTTTGTACAATGAAGGAGGTTGATATCATCCCTGATGACCCTAAGTCTGCTGAATGTATAAAGCAGTTGGAGGCTCTTTAAATCACTTACTGAGGAATATGCAGATTTGAATTATTTGTCGTATCCTAGAATATTTGTTGCCAATAGTATTCTATTCCAAGAACATGGTATTGGAATTTGTATTTGTCTTACATGAATTCTGGCCACAATAGTTGATTGTCAATTGAAATCAAGCCTGAACATGGTGTTCACAGTAAAATAAGCGGCATGCATAAACTCAGTCACCCTTTTCCTCATTTTGGCTCAACACCTAAGACCAGTACAAATCTACCACTCCGTTTGATAAATCCCTAGAGATGATACCAATCTGAATTGCTGTTTAGAAGTTCCAATTCTTGTTCATCACCACTTCAACTGTGTCCATTGTGGATACATAAGGCACTATACTTCAGTCAGATTAGTTGGACGTATTTTTTTTTTTTTTTTTGTCCATTTTGCTTGGAAACTAACCATTCCTATTTGTGGTAATTGTTGCAGGAAATTAGAATTCTCCAACACTTAAAGCATCCAAATATAGTACAGTATTATGGAAGTGAAGTGGTGTGTGGTTCTTCCTATAGAATACGCTAGATTTGACTGTGTTTGTATTAGTGCAGATATAATTCGTTCAGAAAACATTGTTGCCACTGTAGGTTTATGATCATTTTCACATATATCTGGAGTATGTTCATCCCAGATATATTAATAAATATTATTGTGACCATTTTGGAGCTATAATAGATAGTTCACAATTTCACCCGACATATTCTCTCTGGGCTGGCTTACCTGCATGGCACAAAGACAATCCACAGGTAACAATTGTGCTCGACCGGGAGCAGAGCATTAGAGTTAACTTCTTTGTTAATAGTTTATGACTGCACTTTGCAGATTGCTAAAGTCCATATATATTCTTAATCTTGTAAAAAGGCGACAGTAAAATTATCAATGATGTTTTGGAAGAATTATATGACTGCTTACTTTACTGTCTTTACTGTTTTTACATACTTGCTTGTTGAATTTGGATTTTGTTGGAGAAGTGGCACATTTGTTTGTTATAAACTTATTGCTTTGGTCTATGAGTATACTTATCTACATTATTATGATTTATCGGGATATTAAAGGCACAAATTTGCTTGTTGATGCATCTGGCGTTGTAAAGCTTGCAGACTTTGGGATGGCAAAACATGTGAGGTTTGAGATTCTTTAACACTATGTAGTAATGAATATTAGTTTTGTTTGATCTATTGTAATTTGAGAGTATGCTTCTCTAACATTATCTTTTCATAGATCGTATTCAAAGGCTAATGTTTGTATTAGTAAATTAATTGTAGTTAATGTTTATTTATGTATATTTGATTCTCTGCACTATTATTTCGAGATCTTTTCTAGAAAGATTGAATTATGCATTGTAACATAAATTCATTAGCATGCATAAGGTCACTGGATCTCTGAATACCTGTGAATAAGCAGGTGCAACTGCTGTTGATTGCTTCTCCTTTCTTTCTGCAATCCGGATTCTCTTTTCATCGAAGAATTTAGACTCATTTTTTCATGTCATCAACTCTTTTACAATTTTTCACTCTAAGTACTGAGTTCTATAGTTAATTGCTCAAAATGAACCCATATTTAATTAGTTACAAACTTTTAAATGACATGGGAGATTCTGCTTTAAGGATTTTAAACATTTTTCCGTATCTTGCTTTCCTGATAGCATATTCTGCTTGTTAATGATTTTCTTTTGCATGTTACTTAATGGGCTTATAGCTTGATTTCTAGTATGGTGATTTACTTACAAAATCAAAGAGAAAGAATGCTTATTTCTTGTCCTTATATTTTCTTTAAGGGTTTGCATATGATCTTTTCTCTGCCAATCACTTTAATTGTCTCATCTTCTATTTGTCTTGTCAGCCTCAAGCTATGTTCAAGGTCTTGCATAAAACCCATGCCTATACCAGAAACGTTATCTTCAGAGGGAAAGGATTTTCTCCAACGCTACTTTCGAAGAAATCCTGCAGAGCGGCCATCAGCTATGATGCTACTTGAGCATCCTTTTGTCCGTAACTCAAATGATAAAAAAAGTCCAACGCAGCTTTTAGTAGGTTTTGTATTAAGTGTTTGTTGTACAATGTAACCAGGAAGAAAAATTTGGTGTCAAAGGAAGGACTTGTAGATATTTACGCATTATTATGTCCAAACGAAATTCATTCTTGAGAACTACTTGATTTGTTGGATATCTATGTCAAATAATGTCATTGTTGTATAATTAAATAAAAAAATGGGAGATAAAATAAGCATTAAAACAGTTTTTTATAGGTTGATTGATGAGGTTTGTACTTTAAGTAATACAAAAATCAATACCCATAATCCTGATTATACTTTTAACAAGTTGAATAATTGAATACACAACTTAAGTCTTTATATAGGTGATAACAAGGTATGTCTTGCCCCAACTTTCCAAATCAAGTTTACACAAGTAGATTTTGAAATTAGGGTTATAAAAGGATTATTTTGATTCAATTGCATAATTTAAACCAGGATCATATGTAGGATTCAAGATACTATAATTTAAACCCAGAAAGGCAATTATGTTTGGATGAAAATGGTATTGAAAACAAGAATACAGACTGGGAGAAGATTCCAAAAATTCAATAGCATAAAAAGTAAGATTTGCAATGTATCAATAACATACAAATTGGGATACGATTCCACCATTTCAATAGCAAATGGAAGTCAAAAAAATCTTTCATCTTCATATAAACTTAAAATACAAATACATAGTCAATACTATAAGCTCAGTATTAAATTTGAATGCTTCCAAATTACAAGCTACTACTATACAGTCTGCCCTACACCTTACACTTTTGCATATACCAGAATATGGAGGCGATGAAAGCCGAATGCTTTTTCCTTCTCATAATGTTAGTATCTTGCTAGAGAAATATATTTTGAAAATTATTAATAACACACATGCAAGTGGCTGTTCTATACTTGTAGATATATTTAGTAAAAGGAAAGTTTTCCCAGGAATGTCATCCAAAAGTGCCATCCTCGCCAATACCAGTGCGAGTACGAGGTTATCCACATAAATCCAGTCTTGTTTCACATTCGCTTCATCAATTCTGATAGGCACTAAAAGTAACTTCACTACTGACACTATCCTTGGAAACTGCCTCTCTTCACTAGGCCTATAGATAGCAGCAAGACAAACCGCACATGTATGTAGATATTCACCATTTTTTTCCCTCTACAGCACAAAATCCCATTTTAGAACAAAAATAATCCACTGCCCAACTCTTTCATTTTTAACACAAATTTGAGACAAATTCTTAGCCTTTGATTTATTGTAATCCATCGGAGTTGGATGACAATCATTAATTATTGACATATTGTATGAAACAAAAATGTTGAAATATTCATTATAGAATGGTGCATGTGGCACATATTTAGTGCCTGCAAGATCAGTCAATCAATTCGGAAATATTTTGTTTGAAATTTGAGTCGAGATATTTTCCTCTAATCCACTGACTTACTTTTTCGAGAAAATAACATGCTCTAGGACATATTACTATTTATATATATATAAAACCCAGATAGGCCAAAAACAAAAACTTCAATTCTAGGACATGCTATATATGTAGAGTAACCATTAATAATGTGATTTTATGACTCCACTGATGAAAGGAATGATTGGAGTCCGGAAACAATAAAGGACTCCACCTGAGGGTGCAACCTGCACCAAGATAGTTAAACCGTTACAATTGCTCAATAAAATAGATAGCATGGATAAACCATAATAGCAATAACCAAGCAGCAAAAATTGTCCAAGATTACTATTTTCTCTGATATCTGAGATGCCAAACTCTTTCCTCCAAGGACAGCAGCAATGGTACACAATGCTTGTCCTCTAAAGAAGAGAAAACAATCAGCACAGATGTGTGTAATATGTACATCAAAGGTTACGAATTTGTGTCTCAATTACCAATATTTATTTATCTTCTTTTACTCTCCTCTTCTCTGCTCATTTAACTATCCAAATAGAATCTAAAACTTCTCCCACCTCACTTCACTTCACTTCACATCACCTCTTCCCATTTCTCTCAAAACATCAACATCAATTTTTTTTTTTTCTCAAAAAAAGGCAATTTAAGAAAATCTACAGACTACTACAATGTTGTTCAGATACTAACTACAGCCTGATTAAGGAGTAAACACTCAAAAACAAGACATTACATTACTCCAAATACATTTCAGGGCAGCGACGTGGAGATATTTTTCCTCCGGAGCTATAACTCCTATTAGAAGGCACAAATTTAACCAAGCAGCAAAAATATGAACAAATCAAATAGGGAATCAACATACAGAAATTTAACTAAAATCATCATATATTACAAAGTCAAATTGTTAGAGCAGCCTTCAGCAGTGCCAAATATAAATCGCAAACACGTCTCCAAGTACTAAGTGACAATAGGAGGCATTATATATAAGTAGAAAATATGGAAATAATGTTTGACTTCACAAGAGAAGGAAAAATTAGTTTTCAAATGCCAGTCACTGTAGAACATTAAAACTGAAACAAACATTATGAAACACTAATGCAGAAAAGATAATCAAGAACCAAAGTAGAACCAATCACCCAATCGACAAGATTAATGTAACATTAAAGGAACTACATAAAAAAAAAGTGTACTTGTTAGACAACAAGATAAGAAAGAGGGAGACTCGTCATCTGTAAGGGAGTGATACAAGTTCAGTAATCTCTGGTTTCCAAGTTCGGTGACCTGAAGTGGCTCGACTGACACTCGTGGTTGTGGTGGTGGTGCGGAGGAACAGCGGACGCATGGCCGTTTAAGGTCGAGATCGATAGAGGCGCGGCTGAGATTGGCAGCGGTGGTGCAAGGCTTAAGTGAAACCCGTTTCGGATGGTGGAGGGCGGCGACTTGGACGGGCTGTGATTGAGGGATGTGGTAGCTAGGGTTTACAATATTGAAAGGAAATTCGGGGAGAATTTTTGGGTATATACTTTTTGGATTTTGAAATTGATGGAGAGTTTGCTAGAAAATTTAGCTGCCCGCCATCCCAAGTTTCTATTTAACAAAATGGTCATGAGAATTTTTTTTTTTTTTTTTTGGGTTAAAAAAATATAGCGTAGCATACTTAAGTGTAATTAAAGCAGTAAAAATGATTAGAGTGAAAAGATTTAAATATTCATGGGTTAAAATATAATAAAGAGAAGTTGATTTAAAATTTGAAAGGCAAAACATATTTCTCTTAGCTTCTCTTTCTCACAACAGGATTCAAACACCTTTCTCTCTCTCGTTTTTTCTTTCAATTTTCTGTAATTTCTCAATTTATTTGCTTTTGGCATTTTTGTCATTCCTTGTCATTCCCGATTAAGTTATAATGGTCGAGATCCTTAAAGAAACAGAAAAAAACCCACCTACTCCCCAAATTGTAGGCACCACTAGGTCTACCAAAAATGGAAAAGAAGAAGTTGTGGTGGAGTAACTTCCGATGACTGAAGTTGCTCCACCAAGAGAGGAGACGGCGTCGACGGAAGACATTCTATTGGCGGAACAAGGGAGGGCAAGAGTTGAAATTGAAACTGAAGAGGAGGATGTCGACGCAAATTCCAAGCGTCGGACATACCAAGAGTAAAAGCAAATGATCGCTTAAGCAGTCTGGTATATGATAGAAGATCGCTTAAGCGATCTGGTATAAGTGATTTTAGATCGTTTAAGCGATCTGGTATAAGTAATTTTAGATCGCTTAAGCGATCGTGCATTTGGGCAGAAGTTGATTTTACCTCGGACATGATCGCTTAAGCGATTATAAATCGTTTAATGCGACCAACATTAAAAGCAAAGGATCGCTTAAGCGATCATGCGTCTGGGCACTTATTTATTATCTTGTTCATGATCGCTTAAGCGACCAACAGTAAAAGCGAAGAATCGCTTAAGCGATACTGCGTCTGGACACTTATCTATTGTCTTATTCATGATCACTTAAGCAACCAATAGTAAAAACAAAGAATCGCTTAAGCGATACACTTAATCGCTTAAGTGATTATACATCTAGGCAAAAGTTTATTCTGCCTCGGACATGATTGCTTAAGCGATAAGCGACCAAGGTTAAAAGCAAAGGATCGCTTAAGCGATAACATAAATACAATAAGATCTCTTAAGCGACTAAGTCTAAATACACATGATCGCTTATAGATCATTTAAGCGACTAAGTGTAAAAGCATATAATCGCTTAAGCAATAACATAAATACA